AAACTGCAATCCAAACTAAACTTGACCTGTACGTCGTTAAAATAGGCGAAAATTAAATTTGGCCTCTATATAGTTAAACTGGATCTTAAATATCTCAAATAAAAATTGACCTCTACATCATTAAATTGTGCCAAAATCATATTTGATCTCCATGTTGTTAAACTGGATCCCAAATCAAATTTGACCTCACGTCATCAAACTGGAATCCCAAAATCTAAAATTTGACCTCTATGTCGTTAAACTGGGCCAAATTAAAAATTTGACATGTACATTGTTAAATCGGAATCCAATAAATTTGACCTCTACGTCTTTAAAGTGGATCAAAATAGATTTGATTGGAATCCAAATCAAATTTGGTCTCTTCGTCGTTAAGCTGGAATTTTAAATCTAAAATTTACATGTACGTCACCAAACTGGAACCTCAAAGTCCAAACTCTATCTCATGTCTCTAAGACGAACCCAAATTCAAGTTTCAAACGCCACATCTCTAGTCTAAGATTTCATATGGAAATATATACACTTGGGGTACGCGACCATTTTTTTAAAATAAAATCATGGTACTTTCTTGCTTTATAAGTTTTCTTTTATTTTGATGATATTTGTTGACTCCTAATCGAAGAATTCTTTCTTTAGTAATTAACAATAGACTCTTCAGTCTATTGAAAATCTTGAACCCACGTAAAAAATAAAACCCTCTTTCGTAGGGTGAATTTGACAAGATCAATATGTAAACTAAAGTTATCTACCTTATTTAGATGTGCTAGTTAACATAGATGATTTTGACCATAGTGTGTATTATATGTTCATTACCTTATTTCTATGTTCACATAGTCATAAAAAATAGTTGGACTAGGCTACTATTTATAGTATCCTGTAAGTGGATACTATCAATCCAGATTTCAAATACTTTTTAAAATTTTAAAATCTAAGCTATTGGATGTGATCTACTCTGCACATTAACTATATAGAAATCAAATTTCAAATGATTTCAACATATTTAACACATGTATCATATGTCATCAAATTTAACTTTTCAAGATTTTCGTAAAGTTGCTGGATTTTTTGCCCCTTGATACATGATGGAGAACACACTGGAATCTTTTAAAATTTATTTCTATGAACTTCATGTATATTACCTCACATCCAACAAAAATAAAAAGGCTAAATTTCATTTAAATACCTTATTGTATTCCTAAAAAACACTTATACACCTCAAATTTCATCATGTGAATTTGCTAAACAACATTAAATTTAACCTTTAATGATAGAAATACCCTTCTGCCTAAATAACCCCCCATTGTTAAAACCCCAAAACTTTACAGTTACAACTAACTTTCTTAAAATCTCTCTTTCTCTCTCCTAGTTCTACAATGAAAAACTAGGGTTTTTAATGTTCCTAAAATCCAACCCCCACCCACCCCACTCACCCTTAAAAAAATCTATCTCCCAAAGTTTCAGTTGAGGAATACAACGAGCTGCAGCAAGTCACCCCAATTCTAGAGTTTCGAATTGGAGTAAAATGCTTAGATTTTGAAGGTTTTAAGGCTTGACGATTCGTTTTGAAGGTAAAGTCACCTCCTTTGATTGATTTTGACATAGCATGGGGGTATTAATTAGATGAAAAATGGAATTGTGTTTACATGGAAGAAGATGAAGATGAAGAAAGAGGAAAGATATTTAATAAAAAGAAAGGAGTTGATAGAAATGGTAATTAATACAATACCTAAGATAGTTGGCAATTAAATTAGTCACATGAGGCAGCACGCTCAGAATATTCTCACGACTAGTTAATAGAAAGTAACTAACTGCACTTTTTTTTTATAACTTGGGTTTTTTTTCGCTCCGCTTTAAAACTTGGGGTATATAAGTAAATTTTTTTTTTAGAAACAATAGGATATGTAAGTGCAATTTCGCCACAAAATAAAATGGATGTTTGAATTTTCAATCTTGAATTCAAATTTTAAGCTGGGGCTGATAGCCCTGATTATCAAGTATAAAAAAAAAAGCCCTCTAATAATAAATATCTTTCATAATCGCTATCTAATTTCTGTTCTATGGATCAAAATTATGAACAAATTTTACGCTACAATCACAACAAAAACTTAAGAATATATCAAAAAATAAAATGAAATACTAGATTTTTGAAAATGCGTGCGCCGTTATTGTGCGCATTGAGCCTCATTGTCATGAGAAAGTATCCGATAAATCAATTAAACCCTTGAATTGACGTAAAGCAGACGAGTTATAAGAATAGGTACCCCCCGTCCAAGTATTCTTCTCTTTTTGAACTACGATGACGTAGAGAGAGCGAACGCGTTGCACTCGGAACACGTGATCCGCTGTGTCTTTGCGTTGGATAAACACATTTGCCTGCTGTTGTCGTTGTGGATGTGGGGGCCATCACCGACAGCGGCCGGTGAGTTGGCATTCTCGTCGTGACTCAGATTGCCAACTCAGCGATTGGAGTGTTCACTGTATACTTTAGTGTATACTTTCTTCGTCGTGACTCAGATGTGACTACAAGTTTTTAGTTCACTGTATACTTTCTCAAGGACCAAATTCAATAGACAAGAAGAAATCAAGTGTAGGAGGAAGGATTAATATAAAAGGGCATGTATTCAAGGGAGAAGCATGCACGCATGACACTACTCATATGAACCTGTTAAGAATTACTCTAGCAAACTATTCAGTTATGGCTAACAATGTATATCAAGCTAACATAATTTCTAAAAGCATGTGAAAATGGGATGTTAAGGTTCTGTTTGGCAAAACTAGCTGAAAGCTATGAGATTATAGCTGAAAGCTGTAAAGCTAGCTGAAAACTGTGAAATTGTAGCTGAAAGCTGTTAACTGTGTAGCTAGCTGATTGACTAGAGCTGTTTGGCAAAAGTAGCTGTACAACTAGCTTAAATTTGTTAAATGACTAAAAAAGACATACAATAATATTGATATAAAATTAGAATTATTAGGGGCAAAAACGGAAGAAGAAAAATTGGCAGCTCCTTCCCAAAGACAAACGCTACTTGAGATAGCTTTCCAAAAACTACTTGCAAAAGACACAATCTCCAAAATAATCTTCTCCTATTTTTGTCACCAAACAGCTCTACTAGCTTATTGATCAAGTCAATAAGACACAAGCTCTTAGATAAGACACTTTTTTTGGTTGCCAAACAGTGCCTAAGTCACTTAGAAAGATCCCCAGTTTGGTAGATCTAAAAAGTGCAAAGTATAAACTGTCCATAAGCTGAGTATAATTGTACCAAAAAAAAAATGTTCTCAGGCAGTTGTTTTCATCAATATATATAAGCACAGTCGCAACAATATGATGTAAAATCCATAGTAATAATGTTCACCGTTGGTTGTCCTTAGTAAAAGTTACCTGACACTAGTATGATTATGAATATTGGTTCATACCTTCACTATTGAGTTTAAGAATGATATACGTTTCTAGCAAACATCATGTTAGCAAAAAAAATTTATACAATTAACAAGTCAAAAAACCAGTGCATAATATTTATAATAAAATCAAGTCACACAATAATCTAGTTGAAAAACCAGTCTGACCTATCCCATGAACATCCCTACTGAAAGTATATACCCGTGTAATATGTTAATAGCATAAAACAATTAAAAGAAATCATGATTTTAAGATTTCTTACAGCTTGGTCAACGCCATAGTGAATAATCTGTTTAAAATAGCAACACTCTTGAAAAAAAAAGCACTTTTTCTTAAAACATTTTTTCTACACCCCTGACATGTTAAGAATATGCATCTTATGCCGAACAATATTATCAGGCATTTGATGAAGCAATTGCGGAGCTGGACACTCTTGGAGAAGAATCCTACAAGGATAGCACCCTCATAATGCAGCTCCTTAGAGACAACCTCACCCTTTGGACTTAAAATAGCAATAGCATGTTGGACAACAACTCTCTTAGCAAGCCAATATGTTGAACAGAAATATGGTTAAATGCGTATTAATGGAGAATCGAAATAATTGACCTTGATAGAAACCCCTGTGTTCTAAAAGACTTCAGAAATTGAACCATTACTAAAAAATCAAGCTTTATGAAAGATTTGTACAAGTAATATGGTAATATTTCATGAATTTAATTACAATAAAAATCAAATTCTTAACTTTTACATACCTTTTATATGAAGCCAAGATGAAGAACGATGAAGAAGGAAGGGGATTTTTTGCCGCGAAGACGGCGGGGAATAGAACCGCGAGTTTGAGGAGGAGCAGGCGAAGATGACGAAGTCGTTGGGCGAAGTCGGTTGGATTTTGATAGAAGGAAAGGAGATGGCGAAATCAGTTGTGATTTTGATAGAAGGAAAAAGAGATGGTCGGTGGGTTTTGAGGATACAGATAAGGGTGAAGTCGGGGTGAAATTCTAATTACAGTTTTGAGTAGCGTTTTTTTTGGGTGGACCCCACTTTTATCAACTTCGGTGGTTTTTCCGAGTCTTTGAAGACGAAAAATTTTCAAGGAAGTGAAGATGCCACGTAGACTCCACGTCATCAGTTAAGGAAGTAGCGGAAGAAGATTTTCAAGAGAAACAAACATATATTTTTACCTAGAAGTAGGAGAAGTAGCCTTTACTTCATCTACTTCCGCTATTTCATAGTTACTTCAGTGCAAACAAACGGGCCCTTGGGGCCCGTTTGGATAATGGAAGTATTGGAAGTAAGAAGTAGGTTTTGGAAGTAACTTCCAAAACTATGAAGTAGGAAGTAGCGGAAATAACATTTTTTTTGTTTGTTTCGTATATTTTTAGAAGTAATGGAAGTAAAACTTCTTCCTCTTCATTTACTTTTTTTGTTTGGATAATATTTGAAAATATTACTAAGAAGTAATTAATACTTGTTGCTTCCATTTTATTCTTGTTTGGATTGTCATTGAAATAGAAATAAAGTTGTTGTTGCCATCAATTGAAGACCAATATTCATAGTTGATTTGCTTTATATATATATATATATATAATAAAGTTATTCTTACCATTTTCGCATCAAAGGGTATGATACGCAACATTGAGGATAGCAAGGGAGCATCAGCAAAAGACAAATCTATAAGAGCAAATACAAGTTGTGCACATGACCATGTTTTTTTGAGTTCAAACAAGTCCTTAGGCCTGCTCTACCTAAAGAACAAACTCTCAAAGTCCCTTGCAAATCAAATGCCACCAAGTATCTCGATATCTCCCTGTACGTCACATGCCACCCACAGAACATGAGAAAGAAATTTTCGAGCAAATACAAGTTGTGCACATAACCATGTTTTTTTGTAAAGAGAAATTTTCATTGATATATTTAAAAGTTACATAATGTTTCCATGAACTTTGAAGCAACCACATTATCAAGTAAGGCATCACTCACTTGTAACAAAAGGTTACAAAAACACATAAGAACCTATTACAAAAGACTATTGAGCTATGAACATAAAGCTCCTGAACAAAACCAAAAAAAACTGGAGCCAACCTATCTGCTATACATGAAGCAGCTACAAAAATGTCCCACCTAGTGGGGTGGACCAGGCAAGCCAAAAACCGAGCAACACCAAGAGTAGGCCAAAACCATACACCATATGTCGCTGCTACAGTAATTTTGTTATGATAAAAACAGCCATTTCTAGGGGGAAAACTAAATACTGCTAAGGTAATTCCCAAAGTGCAAAATAGCCATTTCCAACAACATAAGCATGTTCAGCAAACCATGACCAGCAAAGCAATCTCTAAGAAAAAATATATTGAGCTGAGAAAAATAAAAGTGCTATTAAAAATTAGCTGAAATTAATAAGAATCATAGTCTTATTGTAAGCTCAATTCATATCAAACTCCAACACACATAATTGACAATAAACTAGAATCATTAAGTTTAAAATAAAATAATAAAGTGCAATCTCTAAAATGACTATCCATACTAGAAAAATAATTTAAACTGTGAACCATTTATTAAGGGGTGCTATCCATGTTTCCGAAACAAGTAGTTCCTCTCTAAACGTTGTCCATAGTTGGTCGCCTACCAATCCTCTCCAACACATTAAGAATCCTCTTTCTTTGTATTGGTTCAGGCAATACCATAAAAGCCTTCGCTTCAACTTCATTCTTGTAATATTCATCGAAAACCAGTTCAAGATCATCTATGGAAATATCTTGAAAACCAAAAACCTTATCAGCAAGAACCTCAACCCAAGTTCGCTCCTTCAAACCAACAATGGCAGTGGCTACCTTTCCCATTTCCTCCACAAGTTTCTCAATGAATCTCTCAACTCGGTTGGTTCCCTAGGAGTTAGTTCTCTTTTATTCTCAAACAACATAAAGTAAGCACACACTATACATGCCACATATGCAACAAAGCAACTCAATGTAGCATCTCTAGTTTTTGAAGGTTCCATATTCTACATAAAACAAATAAAACAATGTTATAAAATTAAAAAAAATCAGCTCACGTGGTTATTAAAAATGGCATTCTCTCCATATAACAAATAAAACAATGTCCCTAGCACATATGCTTGATAATGTGACCAACTCATATTAATACGCAAGTGAAATGGTAAGCTAATATGTTCAGTACAACTAGAAAAAAATTGTAGCAGTCATGCAATAAACAACTCTGAAAAATTTCATACTCAAAATTATTTCAAGAGAGACCCTCATTTTCATTAAGGAAGCAGAACAAAATAAATTATACAGAAACTAGAATTTTGTCACGTTCAAATATATGTGAGAAGAAAAAAAGGGAGTTAGAACTAAAAAACATTAGAAGTATAATCACGTTTATAATCACGTTTATATGGGAAAGCTAAATATTGAGAGTCAAAATTAGGGTATAATCACGTTTATATGTGGCGTTCTCAAACAGTTATTTCCTAATCTAGTTCCGACCGCTTAATTTATTATTGGAGATATATCTAATGATGATCTCATACACAGATCACTAACAGTCAAGTTAACTAAAAACATCCGCTTTTTGTAATTTTTATCCCCTGGATTATAGTTACATGAATGTCATGAAGAAATGGCGAGCACAACGACGATGACAGGAGGAAAAACAGCAAGAGACATTTTGGCAGTTCTGCGGTCGACCTCGGATGACGCGGCGATCGACCGAAAACGTGCACACGATTGAGAAAAGTCTCTGGACTTTTCGCGGTCGACCGTGATGAGTTCTGCAGTCAACTGGGAAAACCCTGTAGGGTTTTTAGTCTCGGTCGTTGGATCCGGTCGATCGCGCGTGGTTCTGCGGCCGACCGTGAGTCGGGTCTGCAGTTGAGTTTGGTTTTCTGACCCGTTTCGTTCTGAGTTGATATATAATCTTAATCCTAATTAATTAGGGCTAAGCAAGGACGTTTTTTGAGCAGTTTTGAGAGAGGATTGTTGCATCCTATTGGGCAAAATGGTCAGATTGGTATAATTTATAGAGGCTTGGTGACATGTTGGTATAATTTCTTTTAGTTTTGTCAGATTAGTATAAATTTTTAACTCCGGCGCCATATAGACCTTAAATTTGGTCGGAGTTACTGTACCGGCCAGGGCTGATGGATTTTTTTGCAAAAAACCCCCTCTTCAAATTTTTTGTTCTCTTGTTCATCTCAATCTAGGGTTTCTCAAATGGGAAAAGGGGGCAAGATCTCGGATCTTTCCCCGCCTGGGCCTGATCCATCCCTGAATGTGAGCCCGCGTTCGACGTCTCCGCCGACCGCGACCTCGATGCCGGAGACGTCCCCCGCTGGAACGAGCTCGAGAAGCACTCCGGCCCCTCCGTGTTCCAACACGTCCTCGATCAGTTCAACGACACCCTCTTCCGTATCCTCCTCGTCGACGCCCTCGTCTCCTTCATCTTGTCCTTGAAGTCGTCAGCCTCTCCCAACTGATTCGCGTCAAGCCAATTGATGGCTTCATCGATCGAATCCTCAATCCTCTTCTTATCGTTCGTAGCCAACTTGGAAGCAATCTTCTCATCCTTGATTGTGTTCCTCATGTTATAAGCGTAGTTCTCAAGTGCATTCTTGGCCTCCACCTTCTTCTTGTGCTCGTGTTCCTCATGTTATAAGCGTAGTTCTCAAGTGCATTCTTGGCCTCCACCTTCTTCTTGTGCTCCTCGTTCTCGGACTTGTACTTCTCCGCCTCTTGCACCATCTTCTTGATTTTGATGGTGAACACCATCGTCAAGGTTGGGCAGGAGAGCAACGCGTAGAAGGCTCTCGAGGCCCTGAAGGAGATACAATCGGAGCACGTCGCCGTTGAGAGAGACGGCAAGTTGGTCCCTAGTTTGCCGGCGAAGGAGCTTGTGCCAGGGGATATTGTCGTTCTTAGGGTTGGAGATAAGGT